CACACACACACACACACACACACACACACACACACACACACACAACCCAATACATAATCTCCTGGCAGAGAAAATAAGTATGGTAATTCAAGCAGTAGAGGCTGAGATATCATGACTTCAAGTCCTCAGTATGGGTCGAGCTCCAAAAAACGCTGAATCCTACTTTTCCCATAATGTAACCAATACTGTAGCATCTCTTTGTTGGACCTCCCCTACCGTGTTAATGGTCACGCCTTCAAAACCCCATAGCTCCAGTTTGTAAGGCTTTTTGTTATAATTATGAACTCTATAAAAGTGTACAGCCTGTTGTGCTGCCTGTGGTTATGTAGGTGACCCCTACAAAAGACCAGGACAGTGTAACACGGCAGTCCAATGATGGATAATGCGGCAAACTGTCTGTGTTTTCATGGTGTAGCGGTATGACCAGGAGCTGTTCAAGCTGGCGTTACCATGTCTCAGTGCTGTGGCTGGAGCTCTGCCTCCAGACTACATGGAGTCCAACTACATGGCCATAATGGAGAAACAGTCGTCCATGGACTCAGAAGGAAACTTCACTCCCCAGCCTGCAGACACTACCACGTATACAACGCATTCATTTCCTCTTTGCTAAAGAGTTTTATAGCTACAGTTATTTTATTTTTCCACTTTCAGATTTTTATAAAGTTGTAAAGATGCAGTAGAAAACTAATCAAACATTTTTATAAAAATACATTCTGAGGATTGTCGTCTCTGCTTTGACAGCAGGTGACCCCCCACATATTGAATGTGTTTTTGTTTTTTTCAGTGTGACCGTCCCAGAGAAACTAGACTATTTCTTAACCAGATATGCAGAGCACAACCATGAGAAGTGGTGTATAGAAAAGGTAAGCAGGCGACAGGTCACGTAATGTTCTCATGTCATACATGAAATTGTGGTAGTCCTGTTACTGATTTTTTTTAAGATGCAAAAAACTGCAAGAATAGTGAATCAAAATCTCAAACATCTCACCTCTATGTTTTATAGTTTTCCAATGGTTGGTCATATGGGGAACAGATATGTGAAATCTCCAAGAGCCACCCTTTACTGAAACCATACAAAGGCCTCTCTGAGAAGGTAATATGCATGCAGATGTCTGCCTTTATGATCTCATTGTTTTGCAAAAATGTCATATTTAGATTTTGAACTTAACCAGGCAATCTGAGTGTTGGTGCATTCAGCTGTGTCACAGCACAGTGTCACTAAATGTGAGCCAGATCTTGCCAACATACTGCTGCAGGATTTGGATGGGTTCTACTGTATGTCAACTTACGGAATGTTGCTTCTGGTGTATCTTTTATCACTAGTCTGGCATGAGTCTGGATACCCAGGTTTATGGTCAACTAGGCGAGTCAGATTTAGACCCCTGTTGCAGTTTTCTACCATGGCTGTAGTTTCACTTAAACCACAGTAGGTCTATGGAGAAGTTTTTCTGAGTGGGTCACGTGCAGAAGGAGGCGGGTGATGCTTTACACATTAACTTCCAATGTCTTCACACTATTCCACTGGTCGAAAGGTGGTGGTAACGTGCCAAGATATGTAACAATGGGCTGGCAAAGAAAGGAAAGAAGAAGACCGCAAGCAAGCAGACATTACGGAAGCCCTGAGAGGCAAGTGAAAGAAAAAAATAAGAATTCTGGTGAAACATTTAGTTTGATCTAAAACAGTAAACAGGTAAAAACAGGTCATTTTTTTAAGTGTTTGTTGCTGTAATACTCATTTTGCCCACAAGAGGCTGAAGTGCACCATTACCACATGTTCTAAATAGGACCAAAAGCGTTTCCCAAGTGAGTATTCCAAAAACACTTTCACCTGCCAAAACGGGTTTTTTTGCCTGTTTTGACAGATACATTTTTTTTTTCTCACTTGCGTCTCAGGGCTTCCGTAAAACGGGTGCAAACAGTGTAGGTTGCAAAAATCGTCTTTGCAAATGTTTGATGAGGAAGGAAATGCATTAAACATGTGTTCAAGCTAAAGGATACGCATTACAGGATATACAGTGTGATAACTTTGTTCTGTTTACAAGAAAACCCCACGTTTTGATATCTTTTTGCAAAAAGGCAAAACCAAACCCTTCACCGAAACTTCACATCTATCTTTGAAGGAAGGGTGATAATTGAAAATCATTCCCTCGTAGTTTCTCTCACTTTGAAAGACTTATTATTAGACTTGCAGTCTTTCTGCAGAGCAAGCAGCCGCATGGCCACTGGAAATCTTTTTGGAATAATGGAAGTACTGTATCTTGCACACTTTACACTCACCTATATTTTGATAGGTGAAATATTTCTGGAGGCTCTGACTTACTGTCAGGTTTTGTCTCAAGTTGGTTGTAATCTTGCAGGATAAGGAGGCGTATTGCTGGCCGGTCAGAGAGTCTCTGAAGACCATGCTGTCGTGGGGCTGGAGCATCGACAGGATCAGAGAGGGCGACCCTGCCGGCCTCCACAACAAGTCCAGGAGGATATCACAGGCCAGCCAGGTAGACACAAACACATGCAGATTCACTTTGTTATATTGTTAACTTTGTTATAGAGGGCATTCATATAGAAAAAAGGAAAACCACATGAGAAAGTGACATCAATATGTATCCTGTCTTCCACAGCTGTCTTTTGAAGGAGCTCCAGCTTTCAGCCCCAGACCCATCGATATGAGCAACGTTACACTGTCCAGAGACATGCAGGTAGGTTACTGAAGGTTACCATACTATACACATGAATAAAGACATGGGCTGTTGTAGCAGGTATTAGAAGAATTAGAAGATATTGAGGATTGATAGATGAATTGAAATGCAACAGTCGGAGTCACATATATTTAACATTGTGTTTCTCCAGTCGATGGCAGAGCTGCTTGCAGAGAATTATCATAATATCTGGGCCAGGAAAACGAAAATGGAGCTGGAAGCCAAAGGTGGATATAACACAACACATACACTCACTGCGTTTCCCAAAACCTTTTCCTTTTCAGCAATCACCACCAACTGTATTTTGTTTCTGTTATTTGATGAAACAAAGCCATGGATCAGGCTTTCAGCATGAGTTGTGTTCACAACTCATGCTGAAAGCCTGATCCGTATGTGTTCATTAAGTTCATAATAGACAGATTTTTACCAGTGTAAGAGTTACTTACAGTTACTACGGGGGGCGACCGTGGCTCACTGGGTTAAGAGGGTTGTCTGGTAACCGCAGGGTCAACGGTTCCTCGACTGGGACGTGTCACATGTCGTAGTGTCCTGAGCAAGACACTGAACCCCTGGCTCCCCGGGCGCCTGTCATTGGCAGCCCACTGCTCCCTATATACAGGGATTTCGTGTATGTGTATATGACAATAAAAAGGGTTTCTATTTCTTTTTTATTCCTCCTCGCCGGCGACAGCTTTATGTTTTCGGGTTGTCCATTCATCCGTCCCCCAAGACAATATCGTAAGAACGCCTGGGCCCTGTGAACGCCCCGTTCCTCGTACGTGGCTAACTGAGTTAGCCGGATACTTTTCAGGATAAGATGACGTAGATCAGGCTTTTCGGTTCCACGAAGCAAGTTTGGCAAAATCACCATGGCAACAGATCCATAAGCTTGAGGCTGCTCCAGCGCAGGCTAACTGAAGGTAGCTGGATAAGCTGCCACTCCCCCGGAAAACATGGCAGCTCCTGTCATATACGGTAGTCTAATGCGCTTGCGCATCTACCGGGGGTTATACGGGAGTTCCGGAAATGCATGTAAAGTGAGACACACGGTGATCCATAAAAGCAGCTGAGCAAACTAAGAAGGCTCTATTGTATTAATGTACAGCTCCCTTCCTCAGAGATCCACTGATGAAGGAGGATATTAGTTAGATTAGCGTTTTATAGGGAGAGAGTTCTTCCACATCGCCAAGATCCGTTATCACATCACGATGACTTCCTATACGAGCGCTATCCATTCTGCCCACAAGGAATCATTTATTTACAGACCTTCTGGAGCATACATTGAACACCACACGCTGCAGCCGAGCATTGATGTCTCACACACTGGATGCAGCCTTGAGCTGTTCTGCGAGTGGTACATTGTTGTACAGTGTCGGCGATGTGGAGAACATGGGGAAAGCCGCTGCATGCCGTGCTGTTGGTAAAGTTTATTAGGTGCTTAATAAACTTATGGATGTGTTCATTACATCACCATGGCACATATTGTACTGACTCAGCATTCTGAGTAATGTGTGTGTGCTAGTGTTTACTTGCTCCCATGTCCTCTTGATGGCTGCGTTGCATACATGAGGGTTAAAGCACTCATAATGATATGACAGTGTTATTAGTACACCAGCATATCATTACTGTAGAACATGATGAAGGTGGACTCATGATAAGAACAGAGAGAATCACACACTATTTATCTTCACTGCTTCAGTTGATTGAATGTCTGATGATGAATAATACACACACACACACACACACACACACACACACTGATCCGCCCACACACAGATTCACACACACATATTCAGACTAGTTCTATATGGTGATCTACACATACATGTATATACACATATATAGTACATGATACATGAGGGCATACAGTACATATATCCTCATATTAATGAGTATCAGTAGATACTCTTTGGGCTTGTTTTAATTCCTCATATGCATTCATGATCATCTCCTGCTCGTCAGCGGAGTAAAAAGAGGCTATTTCTTTGACTTTATTTAACATTGTACTGTTAGAAAATCATGGTTTCGGTGATCAACGCTTCACCCTTTTGACGTAGGACGGGCACGCGCAATTATCCTGATCCTGATCGTCTGGTTCCAATTAACGAGACTGTTTGAGAGGATCAGCCTTGGAGAAACCCAGATAGCCTGACATCAATCATCTCGTTAATTTAGGCTGCTAATAGGACATTTGATTGACTTAGCTGAACCATGTACGAGGAACGGGGCCCTGAAAGGATTTGATGGTCAACGGTTCTCAGTTCAAGGTCACTGTGGACCTCACGAAAGACGTTTTTTGGCTTTGACAGGAATTGGTATGCTCTGTAATTTAAATAGGAAATGTACTCATTTTAAGCCAAACCATTGCGTTTTACTAAACCTAACCAAGTAACGTTAACTGTAAACCTTATCTTGGAGAAAATAAACTGCTCTCTCAATTATGTTTCCCTCAAACAGATGTGTATGCAAACTACAACGTGACTGGTCGATGGAGCATTACAACCACGTGGCCGTGACTCTCGTTTCTTCTGAAAACCACAACAAAATAATTCTTTAAAACTGTGCATTTGAACTAGTCAGTGTTTCCCCTACCATTATATTAGGGGGGCGCCCCGCCCCCCCCTTGAAGGTCGAGCTAATTTTGTTTAATTTTGTTTTCTATATAGCGCCAGATCACAACAGAAGTCATTCAAGGTTCCTTTCCTATAGAACAGGTCTACACCGTGTTCTTTAATTAAACAAACTAAACAGTCTTATGTTATTTATCTTATTTACAGACGGAATGTAATTTCTGTCTCTACATGGTCACGCGTGTACAATTCTCCTCTGCTCTCTGTAACGCGCATGGCGGAGTTCCGCCCCGATGCGCGCGCGCACACACACACACACACACACAGGTGAGCACATTCCCACCAGCGGACAGAGAGCGCGCGTCGGAAAATATGTTGCGTCAACCAGCTGAAAAGCAGACAACAATATCTGCGTTTTTTAAACGCTCCCATGTGGTGAAGATGCAACACTCGCTCTCCTGCTAGTACAGAAAAGAGCCCAAGTACCCCCCACAAGCAGCTAAAGTTCAGTCACCACCGATGACAGGTTTTCACCCAGCTTGGCTGTCAGAGGGGAATACTCCCCCTGGCTGTACAAGACTGATCTTGGTAAGTAAATAAATACATACATGTCATACATGCATAAATAAATATCAAGAGGCTCTGGAAATGTTCTTCCAGAAGCCCAGAAAGATACACTGAAGTGACAAAAGCTGCACACTGTGTGGATAATTGTAAAAATAAATGTACCGATGTTTAGTTCAATGTACAGTTCAAATAATTGTTCAGTTATATTGACTGCTGTCATCGAAAGAAACACATGAACACCATGATTCCTTGAAGTGTTTGTGTCGGTGTCCCCCCCCAAATCTGTAAACCTAGGGGGAAACACTGCTAGTATGTAAAGACAATTAAGTAATCAAGGAAGCAATGGACACTAATGTCCTCTAAGCTGATTGCAGGTTGAGGTTCCTTTAGCTTTACTAACTGCTGAAAGGATGCTCAGACACACAAGGTTCCCCTTTGTGTCAGCATGGTGTCTTTGTTTTCCATCCTGCCGTGTTGCTGTTGTCTCCAGGTGGAGGAAACCATCCTCTGCTGGTTCCCTACGATACACTGACTGCCAAAGAGAAATCCAAAGACAGAGAAAAAGCACAAGACATCCTCAAGTTCCTCCAGATCAACGGTTACACTGTGTCCAGGTAGGAAGCAGGCTTTACACTTTGAACACAGGTTGAGCGGTTGAATATCAGTATGAGGTTTGAGATTAGCCTGATGACATATGTCATATGTCATATGTGTGTGCGTAACAGTGGGTATTGTTAGCGCTGTTAGCACTGTTAGCTACGAGCCGCAGGCTAGGTGAGAGCCTTTGACAGTCATTCTAAATGCTCCCAATCTCGTATCTTGCACCTTTTAAGCAAAATTAAAAGAAATGGTTGATGAATCAACCAGGTGTGTAATATAGTGTCTATCCTTGCATTCCTCAGATTCCTTTTGTTTTTATAAACAATCTTAAATCCTTAATGTTATTAGGCTAAGCTTAGGCATACCGGTGCATCCAATAGGCTATATGTGTCAGGCCTCGCCCTAGACACATAGAAAACATCAGCAAGAACTGGAGCTGTTTTTCACACTACAGTATATCCCTAACTCTGATGAATAAGGATGAGGTTGAAAATGGGCAAAAGACAGCTTTACATTTGTTGAAAGGTTTGTTTTCACCTTTGACAGAGCTAAGCTAGCAGTATCCCCCTACTTCCAGTATGCGTGTATCCTCTCATATGAAAAATCTGTGTATTTCCCAAGATGGCAGATCATTCCTTTAAGAGTGTGTGTGTGTGTGTGTGTGTGTGTGTGTGTGTGTGTGTGTGTGTG